GAGGACTCATATTTTTCTGAGGATTTATAAAACTATATATAAATTAAAAAAATAGAATAGTGTTAAAAATAGACCCTTACATTTATGAAGATTTTTCTGTATAATTTTTTGACAATGGTTCCAATAAAATTAAATAAGGAAAAGAAACAGTCCTATGGCAACTGCATAGCCAAAAGCAAGAAAATGAAGCTGGACCTTTATTACATACATATGCAAACATTAACAATAAGTGGATTACAGGCCAAATGGAATGGCTAAAATTATAAGGTTCATAGAAGAAAACAGGAATAATCCTTCATGACCTTGAATTAGGCAGTGTTTTCTTAGCTATGACAACAAATGCAATGGCACCAAAAGAATAGACAAATTGAACTTTATCAAACTTAAAAATGTCTATATTGCAAAGGGCACCCTCAAGAATGTGAACAGATAATCCATCAAACATGAGAAAATATTTGCAAATCATATCTGGTAAGAGACCATTTTGCACATTTTAAAAGAACAGTTAAAATTCAATAATAAATAGATAAGCCAAACATAGAATGAATAAAGAATCTCAATAGATAGTTCTCCAAAGAAAATAAAGAAATGACCAATAAGAACAGAACATGAGGCTCAGTATCATGAGTTATTATGGAAATGCAAATTAAAACCATAGTGAGATACCACTTCATATGCATTAGTATTACCACAAGAGGGGAAAAGATGGGCAATAACAAATAATGAAGAAGACATGCATAAATTGGAATATACAAGTGATGAAGTCACATTGGAAATCAGTTTTCCAATCTTTCAAAATGTTAATGATAGAGTTACCATATGACTTTCCAATTCCACTTATAAGAGTACAACAAAGACAAGCAAAAATGTGAATTGTCACATAAATTATACACTAATGTTCATTGTTATAGCTTATATCTATGTATACCTCCAAAGCCTCATGTGCTCCTAGGCGGAGCTTTTGAGAGATGGCTTAATCATGGGTGTATGGTACTGGATTATGGGTGGGTGGTAACTAGATTAGTCCATTTATTGGTTTGTCATAGTTATGGGTGCTGGGGCTGCCTTCTTTGAGTGTGGATGGCAAAAACCTATAGGCTTGTAGGCTAGATGGAACATAAAGGAAAGAAGGAAGGCAGCTTCACTATTCATGCCTCCTGCCTACCCTGCTGTGGACTGTTTCTCTTCTTCTATTCCCCTCTGCCATGCAGCCCTGCTTTAAAGGCAGCCAATTATGAATTGAAAACTCTATAAACTGTGGGCTAAAGTAAACCTTTCCTCCTTTAACTTGTAGATGTTGGATATTTTGTCCCCATAATGAGAAAGTAACTAAGACATTCATGGAAGCATTATTTACAATAATTCCAAAAAACTGAAACAGCCCAACTTTCCAACAACTCTTGAATGAGTAAACAAAATGTTGCATATATGCCCAGTGGAAAATTACTCAGTCACAAAAGGGAATGAACTTCTGATGTGTATTACAAAGAATGAGCTTTGAAAATATTATATTAAAGAGCTGGGTACAAAAGATAACATTCTGTGTGAGTTCCCATATACAAAATGTCTAGAAGAAGCAAACCCATAGAGACAGAGACCATACAAGTGTTTTCCATTGCCTAGGGCAGGAAGAATGAGAAATGACACCTAGTATCTACTGGATTTCCCTTCAGGGTGATGAAAATTTTCTGACATTAGACGGCAGTATTTATACCCAACATTGTTAATGTATTAAAAGCCACTGAAAATTCTACTTCCATCAGGTAAACAGTATAGCACGAAATTATATCTGAGTAAACTTGTTATTTTAATAATGTGAAACAGGCATCTCTCACATTGAGTTCGGGTGCTTGTTTATGCAGTCAGTAATGTACTGATCAGATTAGCTAAATAATAACCAGATGTCTCAGTAGTGCTACACTACAAAGACACTGTTACAGTTAGACACTTGTGTTCCACCACCAACTCTGGCTCCTTTTCAATGATTCAAATATGCAGTATGAGACAAATGTTTAACGAGCTATGCTAATGCAATCCCTTTGGTATGGAAAATGTTCACACCAGATTTAATAGTGGTCTCCAAAATTCAGGGAAAATTCCATAATAGTAGTGATGAACTCAGGGCTAAGAACTGGGAGTCACAATTAAGGTGGAATGGCAGTGATCCATGGGTAAAGCCCCAGACTTACTTAGACCTGTGATCAAAACTGTCCAAGGAAGGACATAGAAAGAGATTCCAAGCCTCATTCCTCACACCCTAGGAATTCTTCAACAAGGCCTCTGATTCACCAGGAGGCTGATAGGATTCATCACAAAAGCAGCTTCAACAAGACTTGTTCCCATCAGAGTGATTACCATCTTGAGGCACTGGCTTTGATCTCAGAATTGCTGTCACCACCGCCATTAGTACAGACAGATATATGAGTGCCTGCCTGACTCCATGTTTGCCTTTTTCATGTTCAAACTAGATCCCTATACTAATTCTCTACCCTGATTGTCTTGCAAGACAAAATAAGTGTATGTTTATCAAGATAATTGCAAGGCAGCCTAGTTAAAAATGTCCTTGTAGGGACCTTGGCATTTAGAGTTTGGAAATGCTACTTCTTGGTGTCTTGAATTTCTGGCATTACATTGTACAGGTGGTCCAAGTGCTTGATTACTGCATGTAGTTTTCAGAATGATGCTTTAACATTATGCACAAGAGAGAAAGTGATGTAATTCTTTGTCACATGGTCTCTCTTTTTTTCTCCCTTGCCAACAATTTACCCCAAATAAAAGAGCCATGGAAGGAATGTAACTTAGAATCTCTGGTTGGCACATGTTCCCATCCACACTTTGAGTTTGGTCTTCTGGCCTTTGGAATTGTGAGAAGATAAAATTTTCTGGCATTCAGTCCCTAATTTTAGAATAATTTGTTATGGCAGCCACGAGAAACTAGTACAAGTGCTTCAGTGCCCAACAAATAACGTCCCAGTCCTGTGGTATTATCATTAACACTGAGATGAGCAGTGTAACCATCTGGTGACCTCGGGTGACATCTTTTTAAAATCTCCTGCTAAGTTGCTAGATTGGCAGGTTTGTATCCTGTTCCAACATGTTCACGAACCTGTGGGGGTTCACTTAGCCATTAATGAGAGTTCTAAAAATAATGCTTAATCATTCTTCGTTTAAAAAAGTAGGTACAGATAATAGTCAGAATGACACTTGTTATTCCAGCAATAGCACTGTGTTGAAAAAGCTTTGAATTCTGACTGCAATGGAGCAGTAATTTAATTTCTCTATGCCTTGTTTTATTCTTCTGTAAATTGGAGATGTCAGCAGGGATGTAGTTGGTGTTTACAGTGTAAACTTTGTAGGGATATCCCTGGCCTAGTTCTTGCAACTGAAATCTTTGGTTCCCAATAGTACTACTATGTCATGAATTGAAAAGCAAAACAGAAGAAAAGAAAATACCTCCCATGTTATTTGCTTAGCAACAAGAATATATTCTGAGAAATAAGCTTTTGGGTGATTTCTTTATGGGAACCTCCCAGAGTATTATAGTCTGGATATATCAATTCCTCCCAGGCTTATGTCCTGGGGCCTTGATCTGCAGAGCAGCAGTGTTTAGAGTGGGGCTTTGGGGCAGTGCTTGCATTGTGAGGGCTCTAACTTCATCCAGGCATCATGAGTTCATATCTGGGTGGACTCCTAGGAGGTGTGCAGGCCAATGAGGGTATAGCTTTGAAAGATATACTTTGTCCTTGGCTTTGGCTCAGATCTGGCTCTTCTTCTCTGCTTCCTGCTCACCATGAGGTAAACAGCTTTCTTCCACCACTTCCTTCTGTTTATATCAATTGTTTCTTCCCAGTGACAAAAAAACTAATATACAAAGTGTGCTTACACAAACCTATGTGGTCTTGGTCAATCATTCAAGGATGCTTCATAGTGCAACCGGGAGGCACAGTGAACAGATGTGTGAGGCTGCTGCTGCTGTATCATGGCATCTTTTACAGTAAACATTTTTACAAGTAGGAATACTCTCTAAATAGCAATAAAAATGTACTAGAGAAAATACATAAACCAGTAATATGGTCATTTATTGTCATTATCAAGTATGTACTGTACTTGTTGCAGGCACTGTACTTTTATATGCCTAGTGGGGCAGTAAGCTTGTTGTCAGCAGCAGCACCAGACACGCGAGTAAAGTACGTGTGCTACACGTTACAGCAGTGGCAGTGTCACCAGGATGTAGAACGTATTCAGCTCTGTTTTAATTATTAGTCTACCATTGTAGGTGTTGTCCATCACTGACCAAAATGGCATTATGCAGCACATGACTGTATTTAGAACTAATTGATTTTGATCTAAGAGTTCATATGGGTCATTTTCTCAGCCAGTATAAATAACTCAGCCTTGGAATTAATTTCAAATAATAAAAGGTAGATTAATTCTACAAACATTAGCCCACTACTAAAACAATATAGGCAACTCCCTACATTGTCACCCCCAATTTGGTTGCCTTCTAACATGGGCCTCTGGTTTTAACTTGGTGACGCAGCTCATAATCAAAACACAAATTTGGTCATGCTTCCTCCACCATGCCTGCCCTTAGAAGTGCAAACTGCTGCCGAGTATCCACATCTTTGATCATACTAGTCATTCTTTCTGGAATTATATGCTCTTCTCCTATATTTGGTAAACTCGAATTTTTAATTTTTGTGGATGTTTATGTGATTAACACTCCAGTCCTGCTGGATGATAGACTGCATCTACTCTTTCTATATTTATTTTTTAAATAGCATTATTTTCAGAACACTTTTGAATTTACAGAAAAAAAATCAGCAGAGAGGACAGTGTCTCCATATACTTCATACCAAATGTCCCCAGTTATTAACATCTTAGGATAATCTGTGACATTTGCCACAATGAATGAGCCAATACCAGCGCGTTATTATTTATAATAGCTCATATTTTACTCAAATTTCCTTGGATTTGATGTCATATCTTTTCTCTTCCAGGGTCTCATGGAGGACATCACCTTATATTTAGTCATCGTATCTCCATAAAGTTTCCTTAGGAACAGAGTTTTCTCAGCCTTTCCTTGTTGCTGATGACAGTGATAATCTGAGGAGCGCTGGTCAGGTAGGGCTAGCATCCTCCTGCTTTGGAAATTACCTGAAAAACTGGAATCATTGGAAGGAAAAACACAGAAGTAAGACATGATTTCATCACATCACACCAAGAGGACACACGCTGCACAAGACTTAGGAACACTGAGGTTAAACTGAATCACGCAGGAGAGGCAGGACTTTACAACTTTTACTACTATCTCCTACTTCTAATATTTAATATAAATGCCACTACTGCTCTGAAGATTTCCTGGATTATTTCAGCACTCAGCAACCTATTTAATATGTTTACTAGTCAGTGAGAAACATTTGCTAATCATTTCCCGTGTGTCTGGCAGGTGCAAAGTTCGAGGACACATTGATTTAAACAACCTCCTAATGTTTCATGAATAAATAACTTCAAGACTTGACGGTTCTACACAGAAATAATATTTTCTACTTGTATTTCATTAGCATTTATGTAGTAAGCACGCACAGCTTAGGTGGTACTTTGTTAGAAGTGTTAAAGAACAAAATAAATCTAAAATACAGACCTTTCAGAAGCAAGGGCTGGCAAAACTCTGTTCTTGGCACCAAATCCTGCCTGCCACTTGGTTTTTATAAATAAAGTTTTATTGATACACAGCCCTGCACATTTATTTACATAGTAGCTGTGTCTGCATTTGCTGAACGGCAGCAGAGTTGAGTAGTTACAACAGAGCCTGCAGAGCCCACAAAATTTTAAATATTTACTCTCTGGCCCTTTAGAGAAAAAAGTTTCCTGATTTCTGCTGTCAAGCATTAAATTCAATATATATGGAAACCCACAACTCCTGCTAAGTATTTGAAAAACAGATTTAACTCTAAATGGGGAAGCTAATGAAGGAGTTTAATGTATTTTGTAGGGATTATTTGATTTAACTGTAAATCCAGACCAAGGACTGGTTACTATGAATGGCAGTCAGTAAACATGTGTTTATGAAAGACATGTTATGGGCCCAGAAAGTGTCAAGAGAAGGGGATATATTGATAAACAGTAAAGATTCCTATAGTATTGAGGAGTGTTTTTTTCTCCCTCTTGGGTCCCACTGGGAATTGAACCCAGGGTCTTTGTACTGAGGTACATCTCCAGATATTTCTTAAAATGCTTTTTAATTTGAGACAGGGTCTCAATGAATTGCTAAATTATCCAGGCTGTGTTTGAACTTGTGATCTTCATTCCTAGCCTTCCAGAATGCTGGAAGGGATTACAGGCATGCCCCTCCATATCCAGCTATCAAGGGTATATATGTTCTAAGGGAAGAGCTGGACTCTCTGGTATGGTAGGGACCTCTCACCTATGTTAGTAAGCACTTGAAGTCTGATCATCTTGAAATTGACACGTACCAAAAGCATAAAGTACAGAAGAGATTTTCAAAGACTTAGTAGGGGTAAAAACTAAATATCTAACAACATTTTAATATTAATGATATGTTTATTTTCATGATGATTGCATAACATTAATTATTACAACTTTCATATGTACTGTGTTGTATGTATATAACTTTAATATAGCTACTAGAAAATTTAGAAGTACATATAAGGTTTATATTATAGTTCCTATTGGATGGTTTTATTTAGACTTCAGAAATGAGCTACCAATACAGTAGTCACTTAGTGATGCGTCACCATTTAAATTTAATTTAATAAAAAATAAATGTACTATAATTATAATTTCAGTTCCTCAAGTCAATTGAACCACATTTCACATACTGTACTACATACCCACCAGTGGCTAGCGACCACCACAGTGATCAGCAGAGGACAAAAGTAAATATATCTTATACATCATTATAGACAGTTCTATTGATCAGTGCTTCTCTAACAGAATATGGGAAGCTTTCCCAAGTATTTTTACTGATGATGTTAAAACCTTAGGAAAGTAAAGGACTAGAAACACAGCAGACGGGTACTAAGCAAATGCTCCCATAGCTTTGGAAGTCAGTTCTTTCAGGAATGGGTCTTTTAGATACCACACCAGTGTGCTTGCATGAGAGGGACTGAGAACTAGACTAGTGATTAAGTGGACTAATAATTAAGAGAAATAGTAGTAACCTCAGGACACCAGAGAGAAGACAAAATGCTACTGTATAATTTCATATAAAGTACACTAGGGAAAAATGAGGACATATTAATTATGTTGCTTTTTAAAAATATATGTTTTGGAGTATTTTGACTGGAGGACCTGTATAGCTGTGTAGTGTATTAAATGGATGAAATATCTTTCCCTGGATACCAAAGAAAATCATTCTAGGAAGCTTTATTTTCTTTATGACCCCTGTTAGTTTCAGCAGCAGATGTAAAATCAGGCCCACAGCCTCACAAGCAGTGTGCTAGAATGAGAGCATACATGATGTTGTAAGAAGAGAAAAAACACACAGTAAAGGCAGGAAAAAGAATGTAAAAAGGGAAAGTAGAACTGAGAATCAGAGCTTACTCCCTGGGTGACAAGGTTACAGGTTTTGGAGCTTTAGAGAATTGGGTTTTATCTCACCACTTGCTAGAATCAAGATAGAATAAAGATAACGGCACTCATGGGGTTCCTTCTGCAGTAATGTCACTTTAGATGTACATCTCATTTAATCCTCCCAAGAACCCTATGAAAGAGAGTCTGTTCTTATCCCCATTTTAAAGAATAAGAAATCAAGGCTTTAAAAGAGTAAAGGTATATTAGTCAGCTTTTCATTGTTGGAACTATATACCATCACCCAACCCTTAAAGGAGTAGATAGTTTGTTTGGTTCATGGGCAGCCCGTTGTTGGCTGGCTCCAGTGTAGGAATATCATGCTGGAAGGGCATAGCAGGGCACAGCAGAGGAGAGAAGCTCGGTTTGGCCTGGCTGGAAAGCAAAGCAGGGGAACAATGCCAGAGAGGAAGGGATAAGTGACCATACAGATCCCAAGGCCACATCTCCACAACCCACCCAGAGACTCCAGAAATTGTGCCTTCTTAATCCTGAAGTGGTTCCCAAGCCAGTGAAGTTGACAAGCCTAACTGTCACGAAAGGGTTCTGCTGGTTTGTTTTGTTTTGTATTCATTGATGAAAATGAACCCAGGGCCTCACACATGCTAGGCAAATGCTCCACCACTGAAGTACATTCTCAGCTCAGCTAAAGGTTATATTCCAATTAAAGTTATAAAAAGGTTTTGCAGTCGAAAAGTTAAAAACTCTGCTCTTCACCACTACATTTTATTGTGACCCAGGCACAATTATTATTCTTTTTCTAGTTAATAAACCTCTACTTAAACTCAGGCCCTTTATCTGTAAAATACTTAGTATCATGCCCATTTTGCAAGATTAACCTAAGTGTTCTATTAGATGCTGGCAATGTTGGCTTACACCTGCATTCATAAGAATAATCTGAAATTCACAAAATGTTCATAAAACTATGAATTTTAGGAAGCAAAATGATACTGAATAATTATTGTTCATGACAGAAAAAGCTGAGAGTTTCAGTCTGATCAACATGTCTTTCAGGTTCCTTAATATTTACACAATTCTCTCATGCTCAAGTTCCAGCAGGATTCTAGAAGAGCTGGGAGAGAGGACATATCCTCTGTCATAAGGATTATACCTGAAGACATTCATGTCAGTTGTGGTCATACTCCACTGAGGCGAACTTCCATTATTGTCAAATCTAACTGAAAGAGTAGCTGGGAACTGTAGTCTTGATATGTGCCCAGCTCCAACTCAATTTTTATGGAAGGAAGAATTATGTGATTTAAAGCGACCACATTTAGACTGTCAACAAGCCAGTTTCTCTTCAATATCCCCTGATCTGGCCTTTAGTATCTTTGTTTCATTTCAATGCCATCTTCTGCTGGTTTCAAGGTCTTCACATTTGGGTAGGAGAACACATGAAGTATCTTTAAGCCTGTCCTCTTTGCCTCCTTCCAGATAGCTAACCTCCTACATAGGCTCTGACCCACCCTCTTGATTACTTTCCAGCTCTTCATGTACAACGTATTTCTCTTCCAGCTTAAGGGCGCTATGGGCCTTCCATGGCAGGTGGATATCATCGGAATGTTCCCAAAAATAATCAGATCTGGAATCTCTGCCAATTCTACTCCCAACTTTTCATGAAGTTGGCCAAATTTCTTAATCACTAAGCTGAATTTTCTGCATTGGTGAAATGTGAATAATAATGTTTATTCTCTTTTCTCAGGGTGCTTTTATGAGGTGGACCTTAGATGAAAAAAGAAAAAGTGCTTTGCAACTCATAAGGTACAGCACACTATTACAACGTTTGTTAAAACTACTGCAATGTACTGTATAAAATATCTACCCTTTTGCTACCTGTTCAGATAGATTATAATTTTACCAATTATAAAATGTTCTGCATAAGTAATATACTAAAAGCTAATGAAATAAAGCATACTTATATTTAGCTTTTTGGTTTAGTGGGGAAAAAAAGCATAGTACAGATTGAATCTCCCTTATTTGAATTGCTGGGACCCAGTATTGTTTTGGATTTTGGACTTTTTTAGATTTTGAAATATTTGCATATACATGATGAGAAATCTTGAGAGATGGAACCCTATTACAAACATGATATACATTTATGTTTTATACACACATTATACACATAGCCTGAAGGTAATTTTGTACAACACATTTGGTAAACCTGCATTTTGACTGTAACCTATGACGTGTCATCACATGTAGAATTTTCTCCTTGTGGCATCATATTTCACTCAAAAAGTTTCAGATTTTGGGATGTTTCATATTCTGGATTCCTGGATTAATGAGCATTCAACCTGTAGTGTATTTCTGGATATTAATATATTGGTAGCTGGTTTTCCAAAATAGTATTACAAATTTAGAGCAGATTAAACCCACCCTTTCTGAAATTTCTAATGCATTTATTTCTATTTTTGTGTATAAAGAAATACAATCATTGCTTTGCATCTACTTGATGATATTCCAGTTCATTTCTTGATTATTTGTGCTTCCTGTCTTTGAATTTCTCCATCTTTTCATTCTCACTCTATAAACCTGCACTATTTTTGTTGTTGTTGTTTTAGATTTTTTCTTTGATTCTTACAAAATGAGGTTCACAGATACTTGGAATACTGTCTTATGCTCTGATTTCTCACTAGCAGAGGAAGCAGAGGCAAAGGCTCCAGACCACAGTGTTCCTGTCTCCAACAGAGGTGGGTTTCCATCCTATTTGCTCAGAGGCCTATTTCCCTCAGCAGGCCTCTTTATGGGTTAGTCACTGCTTTCTCCTCTGAGAATTGTGCCATGCGCCTACAAGTTGTATGTGAAACCACTAACTGATGTTAGATTTGCACAGTGGGTAGTTTTTATAAATGTTTCTCTTAAAAAGCAACATCCCAGGAAAGTCCCTAGGAGGCATGTGTAGCACAAGGCTCGCTAGCAGCTGCCAGAATGTGCAGGAGGTTCCCAGGGTTGAATCTATTGCTCCTAGGGATTGATTCAATTTCTGTTCTGTCAGCCAGTGTAACTGCAGACTGCGGTGTGCTCCAGGATTTCATGCACAAAAGGGATATGGCAAGGACAGAAGGCAGAATCTCGGAGAATGGGAGCTAGCTCTAAACCATGCAAATACAACACATTTTGTGATCCCGTGTGTGAGCCCTTTATAGAGACAAAAGGAAGCAAAGTCCTGAGGCTGATGTCTACATTGTTAGAATGAATAGATTATTCATTCCAAATACCTAGAGGGTTGACACAACACCAAGGAAATTTGCTTTTTCTGGTAAAATCAGAAATCACTGATTTTCTTCAATTCTCATCTCATTTTTCATGGAGGCCAAGCGCTATGGATGGGGCCCAGGGCTTCATTGTGATGGACAGAGTCTCTATGAAGTCATTCTCAACATTGCTACTATCTGTGTGATCAGACTGGTTCCTTCACTTTTAGAGACCACCTTGCCTTCGGAAAATGAGGGTTTACCCCAGGGAGTCTCTGGCATCCTTTCGAGCCTTTAGAATCTGTCACACCAGGACTGGATGTGTAGCTCGGCACCTACGAAGGATGCACCAGGTCCGGGGTTATATCTCTAGCACAGAGAAAAAAAGCCATCACGTTTAGGACCATTTTGATTACTATCTTTCTTTGTAATATATTAGGAATTTTTGCTAAATGAGAATTGAACAGAACTATGACATGCCCCTTTTGAATCTTGCAAGATATGTCAAATGGGATACAGAGTTTATAGCGGCTGGTGCTGTGTTTGACATTAACAATCAGAGTAACAATAAACCCTACCACAGAGGCTGTAAAATGCTGAAAAACACTGTTAGGGCACCTCTATGAACATACTAAAGATGCGTTTTTAAAACGAGCCTACCTATGTGTTTCCTTCTTTTTTTTGCTTTCTAACCCACAAAAGGTTAACAAATTTGAGAAGTCGCTTCGCAATCACAGAGTACCATAGAAGTGCCTCAGTTTGCAAGAGCACCTTAGCAAGTCATTAAGCAATTAAAAAATCTTGAAGAATCAAAGGGAAATTACTTCTTGTCTGTTAAGTTACAAAAACTTGAGACGGTCTGCTTTAGGTGTGGATGATACAGATTCAGTCTGCAGTATTCAAATGAGTCCTTTTCTAATCTTACCCTGATCATGAAAAAAAAAATAAATACATAAATGAATGTATGTGTGCATGAATGAATAAATTAAAAAGAAAATTATAAGATTATGTTTATAGGCAAAAAATGTTCTGGGTAATGAGAGTACAGTTCAGAGTTTACCATGGGGATGGGTAGAGAGATGAAAGATGATCTCAGTACCGTTTCCTTAATTAAGATTTGTGGTGTTTCAATGCATTATCAGATCTCCCTGATAATGTTAGGACATAAAACTCTGTTATGGTCCTCATTCCATCGTGGCACACTGGGAAATGAGAGCTGAAATCCAAATCACGGGCTTTCTAGTTGAACTCTCGTTATTACATGGGCAAGAAATAACTCTTACTATAATCATGAAAATTTACATAGAAATTTAATTTCTTGCTTTTGATTTAAAGAATTTTGCAGTTCTAGAGAACTATCATTTGAGTCTAGATACAACAAGAATCAAAACAATACACAACACCAAAGGAGGCTGTGCTCTCCTAATTGATACGACAGACATTCAGATATTTGAATATGACATCTTTGCCACCTCTGTACTCACCTTTTCTTCCAGTTAAATACCCCCTATTCTTTGCATGTGAATTAATTTATTTGATTGAAGATTTTCTCCATGTTCAGTGTAAACCAAGTAGGGTAGTTCGGACTGGTTCTCTCATCACTGTAAATTAGTCACTTTACTGTCTCTGGGATACAGTGGCCAATGCCACACCTTGAAAGAGGAGAGGTTTTAACTTGGCTTATGGTTTCAGAGTATTCAGACCATGGTCAGCTGGCTCTAAGGTAGAACAGGCTTGAAGGCTGCTTAGATTTTAATGCAAGTTAGTGAAAGGCAGCCTCTGCTTTCATTGTCTTTTCATCCAGATTCCTCATTTGTCAAACTCCTTTTCTTCTTACTACACTTTCTATTTTTCCCCCGAGAGCAACCTTTTTTCCTGAATGCCCCAGTGTTATAAAAAGACATAGTAAGAAAGGGGCATTCAGGAACACTGATCTTTTAAATAATAAAATATATACCACTTACTCAACAAAAGTTGAAAAAATAGACTTAGAAGGGGGATATAGCTTTTAACCAAATAATTCTTTTTTTAATGTGTTTCCTCCCTTGACATACATAAGGAAAAACAATATATAATGCAGAAACATCAATATAAATGTAAAATTTAAATTAAATATGAAATAAATTCCACCTAAATGTTGTTTGGACTATTGCCTTGTTTGGCTTTTGGGATCCCCCCATTCATTCCTGCTCTTTCCCCTGTTTAGGATATTATTTTTCAAGATTTACACTTCTGTTTTGCTGTTCATTTTGCTTCTGACTTTTGAGCATGATGACTTCACCAAGTCTACCAGGCCTCCTTCTTAGCAGGTGCAGGCATGAGGAAGTATCTGTATCTATTATCACTTCTTGGCCTTTTGGCTAAGATCAAGTATAGTATCTGTATGTGTAGGAAAAGAACATTTACCATTTGTCCCTTGAGTCTCTAGATAATTAAAATATTTTTTATTCATTAAGTTTATTGGTACATTTTAGGTATACAATACGATGACATTCATCATTGGAAATTTGTACCTCTACATGAAATATCTTGATTCTTATTTTTTTCCCCATTTTCCTACCCTCCCTTCAACCCCTCCATCCCTCCCTACTTACAAAGACTTTGTTTCTATTTTTTCCTTTTCTCATGTTTTTTCCTTTCCCTTCTTTCCTTTTCCCTACCCCTCCCACTTCCCCTTCCCCTTTGGACCTTTTCTCCCTATTTCACATTATCTATTGTACATTTTGATCCTCATTTACACTTTCACTTTGTCACACCAGTGAAACTAATCGATACGTACACATGTGTCCTACTAAAATCGAAGTGGATCAAAGATCTAAATATTAAAACAGAAACACTAATCTGACAGGAAGAAAGGTTAGGCAGAAGACATTGACATAGGAAAAGACTTCATGAACAAAACCTCAGTCACATAGAAATTAGCACAAAGAATCAACAACTGGGATCTCATCTTATTAAAAAGCTTCTGCAAAGCAAAAGAAACCACCAACAGAGTAAAGAGACAACCCACAATGTGGGAAAAAATTTTACCAGCTGTTCCTCAGACAAAGGTCTACTATCTAGAATATAAAAAGAACTTTAAAAATTCAGACCTCCCAAATTTAAAGACCCAATCCAAAAATGGACATCTGAAATGAACAGACATTTCTCAGATAAAGAAGTAGAAACAGCAAATAAACATGAAAAAATGTTCAACATCCCTGGTCATTCGAGAGATGCAAATGAAAACAACACTGAGATTCTATCTCAACCCAGAAAGAATGGCTGCTATCAGGAAATCACCCAGTAACAAATGCTAGCAGGACTGTGGGGAAAGAGGAACCCTTCTAGACTGTTGGTGGGAGTGTAGAATGGTGCAACCATTGTGGACATCAGGATGGGGATACCTCAAAAAATTAGGATTAGAGGTCTCATTTGACCCAGCTATTCCCCTATTGGGTATCTTCCAAAAAGAATTCAAGGTATCATACCACAGCAATATGTGTGCACCCATGTTTATAGTGGCACAGTTTGTAATAGCTAAATCTTGGAAACAACCCAAATGCCCATCAACTGGTGACTGGATAAAGATGTGTTTTGTTTTTATACAATGGAGTACTACTCAGCCATAGAGAATAAGAAACTAGACATATCTATAGCTAAATGGATGCACATTGAGGCCATACTCTTAAGTGAAATAAATAATTAAAATATTTTTAAGGCTAAAAATATTACAGGGCTGTAATCCCAGTAGTGTAGGAGGCTGAGACAGAAGGGTCAAAAGTTGCAACCCAGTCTGGACAACTTAGTGACTTAACAAGACCCCATCTTAAACTAAAAAAAATGAGATAATACTGCATCATCTGTAGATTATAATAATTACATTTTAATATATTAATAATATGTTATATATTTAGATTTTACATGTATATAATTTTCTCTTCCTTTTATACTTGCTCACTTTTTAAAACCCTGTTATGCAGTAATGGGAATAGTCAGAATTTCTTTTCCTGCTTTAATGGGAATACACTGGGTGCATTTTAGTCTGGTGTAATGTCATTTATATTGTTTATGATATTGAAGAAATATTATTCAATTAATATATTTTTAGAAAGTTCTATCACACAGGCAAATTCAAGTCCATCCTGGGCAACTTGGTGACTTTGAAAGACTCTGTATCAAATAAAAACATAAAATCAGGGCTTGAGGTGTAGCTCACTTTGAAGATCCTGGTTTCAATTCCCAGTACTGAAAAACAACAACAAAAACCAGAATATGGTAGTTTGACATTGCATTCATGGTTTAATTCTGGGAAGGGAAAAGTGAAGCTGGGATTATGTTTGCTTCTAGCCAGTTGAGGATGGTGAAAATAGTCAAACAAAGGAGAAGAAAGTAGTAACATAAGATCTTTTCCTTAATTCCAGGACCTGGATTATTTGTCTCTGGTTTTTATCCACCTGTGCTTATGACCAAATACATTTGCAAATTGAGAAATGCAAGATTCACACCACCACTGTGTGTGTTTAAAGTCATTATGACAATTCACACACCACTCCCTTCGAACTCACTTCCTTCTTACATTTAATAAACTCACAGTATTGAAAAATTAATGCAGCGAGTAGGTGGTTCATAGTCAAAGCCAAAAGTGCAGTGGATGGAAGTTTAAAAGGAGCATTCACCTCCACAGCCGAAAGTGATGGTTATGATACCACCTTGTATGGAGAGAAAAAAGTTGAATTGATTTGTAGAAGTGTTCAAGTATAAAAATTAAACAGTGAGCTAAATAAGTCACAAATTCAACTGAATCAAGAAAAAGAGCAACAAAGAGATTCCAAGGAAAGTAGAAGAAAGATTTTAACAAAGAAAAGTGCAGAAATTAATGAACTAGAGTATCTGTAAAAATGTGCTCATTGGAAATGGTTCTTTGAAAAGCGCGATAAAATCTGAGGACAGTTGAAAAAGTCCTTTCCTTTTTTTGAGAAGACAGAAAATCTACAGGGGAATAAAAACATGTCACATCTATGAAAGGAATCGATAGCCCATTTATTACAAAACATCATTTTGACTGAGTGGTGATAAATTTGAACCTGTTCAAATAAGTATTTTTGTACAAATAAACTAAACTACCAACTGATTTAAGAATACAAGAAAAACTTTTTGACCATTAACTGGAAGAAATATCAAAATTTGTCAAAATACAATACCTATTGTCCACAGTGTCCAAACCAAGAATGTTGCTTAGATATTACCTGTCTTTTACAACTTATGGAATATAAATTTATTATATTACTTTTCAGAGAAGAGAAAGGTATAGAAAGATTTACAAATATTTTCATGAGGTGACAAACACTCCTAATAAATGATTCCCACATGTGAGTATAGACGGAAATTAAAGTATCCCAGGTGAGTAGCATACTCAGTGACTAATATCCCATGCTACAGTTGATTCTCTGAATCTGAGAGTCAATCAATGTGAGGAAATCAATTAATATGTTAATGATCCATGCATCAAAGAGAGAAAACCATCTTTTTATCTCAGAAATCTGCCAAAAAGCATGTGATACAATTTAACATACATGTGTAATAAAACTTTGTAAAGTATGTTAATTGAATGA